ATCACTATAATGCTTTTTGTAATATTATTTTTAATTTGGAAGATGTAAATCATCTCCAAAGTAAAGCTTTGGAGAGATTATATCTATATCTATATCTATCTCTCTATATATCTCTATAACAGAAATTAAATGATGCCATATTAACCATGGAATGCTTAGATAAACATTAAACCAAACATTTACTTACCCAGCTATATCAGCTATTAAATGATGCAATATGTGATTAAGCTATTAAGTGATTGAATGATCACTAATTAATCATATTTACGTAAACATTCGGGGAAAGCAAAATAATAATCTATATTTGCTTGTAATATTTTTTGAGATTACAATTTGAAAAGAAGGTAATGACTTTTGAATAAACATTCACAAACTTTTTATTGATAATAATTAGCTAAATAGTTTGAGGATCTATACAACTTTGTAACATGCAGAAAACAGCAGTCTCCAAAGACTGGAACTGAGGGAAGTCGGGGGGGGTGGGGGCGGGTGGGTTTCGTGTGGGAGGGGGGAGGGAGGAAAAATGGGGGGGGGGACAAGGATGTTATGTTTTTGGATAATATGTCTTGTTTTATTTTTGAATAAAAATATTTTTAAAAAGAAAAGAAAAGAAGGTTATGTGCCTGCCACAGTTAAGCACTTTAAACACATATTGAATAGACTTAAATGTGCTTCATTTTGGCTAGGTCATTTTCTGAAGCCAAGGAATATTAAGGGTTATAACAGAGGATTCTGACGGAAGCAATGTGTTGTCTTTATTGAATCCTACAATGAATCCTGGCCATCAATTTAGGTCTGGGACAGTTTTTTATACACAATCCAAGTGTTATGACCCCAATAAAGAGTATAGGAATGAGATTCCAGTATGACTCCATAAAGATGTTACACAGGGCTTTTTTCAGCCGGAAATCAATGGAACTCAGTTCTGGCACCTCTCAGGTGGGTGCCATTGCCATTACGTATAAGACAATAAGGGAGGCATTCATGGTAAGTTCTGGCACCTTTCCCCCCTAGAAAATTAGCACCAATGTTAAATATTTTAAAAAGCTCATATGGTAGATCAAACAGAAAACCCAGAATTGCCTTTCAACAGTTGTCAGAATTTACCTCAAAACACTGTGCATTTATTCTTCGAATTTTGAAACTGTTTAAAAGCAGAAGAGCTTTAGGTTCCAGTCAGTAGGGCTTTCCCTTTTTATAAGGATCACATAATGATAAACATCTGTACCTTCTGATGAACGGAAATTATTTATTGACCAGTTTCATCTACTGGCAAAAGTCATCTTGGTGCTGTGAATGCAGACATGGCTGCTCATTTATTTGCTCATCTGGATATTCTGTAGATATGGTAACAACAACAACAAGCAACAACAACACTATTCTGTATAGTGCGGAGGTCAGCGAGAGCCAGTGTGGTGTAGTGGTTAAGAGCGGTGGATTCGTAATCTGGTGAACCGGGTTCACTTCCCTGCTCCTCCACATGCAGCTGCTGGGTGACCTTGGGCTAGTTACCCTTCCCTGAAGTCTCTCAGCCTCACTCACCTCATAGAGTGTTTGTTGTAGGGGAGAAGGGAAAGGAGATTGTTAGCTGCTTTCAGACTCCTTAAGGGGAGTGAAAGGCGAGATATCAAGTCCAAACTCCTCCTCCTCTTCTTCGCAGGCCAGATTTGGCCTGGCAAGCCACAGGAAGTAGCCCACCAGTTCCCACAGTTATTTCCTGATGTCAGCACTGAGCTTGCTCTCCTAATACCATAGCCTCCTAAAGCTTTAGTTTGCATGCTGCCTCATGGAATCAAATGACTTGGCTGAGCCATAACTGGCAAGCTCTATCTAATTCAGGAATTATAAACCTGCCCCCCCCCAGATGCTGTTGGATTACAAGTCCCACCACCCTGATCATTGGCCATGCTGGCTGGGGTTGATGGGCCCTGGAGTCCAGCACTCTGAAAATATGCAAATAGCCAACCCGGCTAAGCACCATTGGACACTATTCAAATCACATATGTGCCTCATTCCATGACATCCATGCTTATACTCAACATAACTTCACCATTACAACTCGGGTCCATCAACTGCAATCTAACATATTTGACTGCACAGCCTGCAGCCTGACATATTTTACTGTTTGGGACAGTTATTCAGAAGAGGGAGGTGGCACAGCTGGTTTATTATCTAGAACAGGGGTCGGCAACCCGCGGCTCCGGAGCCGCATGCGGCTCTTTAACGCCTTTGCTGCGGCTCCGGGGCGGAGGCGAGGGGGAGGAGGCGCATTTTCTGCAAAGCCATTTCCGAGCTAGAGAGGAGAGGGGGTGGCGGGCTAACCCCTCCCACACTCCACTCGCGGGGGCTGGCTTTTTGCCCCCGCGAGAACAGGGGAATCCCTGGGCGTGCCTGCAACCCTGCCCACCAATCGGTGGGGCCGGGGAGGCGTGGCCTAGCCCATTTAAGGCCAGGCACGACCGGGGACCGCCCTCTTTGCCCCGTTTCAGCTCGCACCCTCTCCCTTCCTTCCCCTTGCGGTGTGTGGGATTCCACTCCCGGCAGTCCTTCTCTGCCGTCCTCGCTGCTTTCCTCCCCCCCCCCGCTTTTCTCCCTCTCTAGCCTCCTCTAGGCGTGTGTTGAAGCTGCGGCGTCCATTTCTTTAAAGGGCATCAATAAGGGAAAATCGTCGGCGCCATCTTTGTGGGCGCACGTGGGAGTCGCGGGAGCGGCCATTTTGGTTGAGGGCTGTAAGCAGGCTGCATTGAAAGGGGGCATGTAAGCTGGTTACTGTTTTGAAGGGGAGTGAAGAACACACACTCAAAAAAGGTAACTTGTTAATTTAACGTTTATTTCTATGAGGAGGAGTAATTCTGAGGGGGTCAAACAAAATAATAATAAAAAAGTGTCAAAAAAGTTATTTTTATAATGACGAGGATGACATTGGGCCCTCATTATTAATTATTATTTACATCAGGCACTGATTATGATTTATGGTACACTGTGGCCCTGATTAATTTTCTATGGCATTTTGGGGCATTGATTATTGGGCATAGCAAATTTTGCTATGGGGCCCTCTGATTTCTAATTACGTCCCTCTTTTGGACCCCCGGTAGGCCAGCCATGGATAAAGGCAAGAAAAGAAAAATTTCTGAAGAAAACAGAATGTTTAATGATACATGGACAGAATCATTTGCCTTCTCTACTGACAAGACTGGTTTACCAGTATGCTTAATATGTGGTGAGAAATTTGCAAACAACAAAAAGTCAAATATTGCAAGACATTTCCAGAATAAACACACAGCCTTTGCTGAAAAATATCCAGATGGAGATGAGAGACGAAAAGCCATTGCAGAACTTATGAGGAAGGTTGATAGGAGCAAAAATAATTTCAAGAATTGGGTGAAGTCTGCAAATTCCACAACATATGCTAGTTTTGTAGCCGCTCAGGAAATAGTCAAGCACGGTAAGCCGTTCACAGTGTTATATTTGTTTTAAATGTCGCAATGGTTTTGCGGCTCCCAGTTGTTGTTTTTTCTTCGGAAACGGGTCCAAGTGGCTCTTTTTGTCTTAAAGGTTGCAGACCCCTGATCTAGAAGGTATTACTTGACCTAGAATCAGCAACCTTGGTGCGTGGCTGCCATTGCAGACAACTCACGCTGGTGGCCTTAATGTTCGCCATGTAATGTTGCAACTGGCATGATAGGGTGGTCCTAAATTCCCTTTTCTATACACCTATTAAAGGTGCAGGAGCTCTGTGTTCTTTTTTCCAACTGGAAAAGCTTGACCTGGGCTACTTCCACCACAATGCTGTAAGCAATCACCCTGAGAATCTAGAGAGAGATACTTGAAATACCAACATTTTACATGTGAATGAGGTTGCAGTCCACAAAGCACATACTTATGCCAAGATTATCCATTGATGTTAATCATTGCTAGAGAGGTTTGTTTAAACAAACAAGGTGCAATGATTATCTCAGGTTTATTGTCCTAGAACAGCAGCCACAATCTACACAAACTAGGAAGTCCAGCCTGGGTTCTTCAAGTTTAAAGGGGATCCAGGGCCGGGGAGTCAGACTCTTTGAATCTGAGCAAAAAGTCCAGGTTTGGCAAAGTTTGCTGACAGTCCTGATTCTTTCATGAAGCAGTTGATGCTCTGCTCTGTGTTCCCGTGTGTGTGTGTGTGTGTGTTTACTCTATAAGAGTACTAGGAATCAGGATATCTGCAAGGAAATGGAAGCCTAACAAGCTTGCTTCCAGTATTATGAAAACCTGTTCTCCTTCTGAAGTATAATTCTTGAGCTGACTAGTCCAAGAAAGACAGCTTAGTCATTGGCTTAATGGCATGTTTGTTGAATAGGATTCTGTAGTGCCCAGATTCATCAGGAGTTATGCATGGTTGCCCATAAAACTTCCCCTGCATCCTGCTAGCCCAGAGAAGCACCGGTAATGTCCTTAGGGCACTCTTTATTCATTCAAGGTGATGGATGAGGGACCCAAAGACCTCCGCAATGCCCCACAGAACATGATAGCATTGCTCACAAATTTTAGGGTAGAGAGACACAAGTGTTTCACAGCTGATAGATGGATGCGGTAAAAGTTATATGACTATAGGAATGCAATTGGCTTAGTACATTTTATCTGCAGAACAGGGGAAGGAGACATTTTCATACCTATTCTGTCTCCTTGCATCAATACTTCTCTGGTAGCCCTCCCCACTATACACAGCAAAGGTAAAGGGACCCCTGACCATTAGGTCCAGTGGTGGACGACTCTGGGGTTGCAGCACTCATCTAGCTTTATTGGCCGAGGGAGTTGGCCTACAGCTTCCAGATCATGTGGTCAGCATGACAAAGCCACTTCTGGAGAACCAGAGCAGCGCACAGAAATGCTGTTAACCCGCCGGAGCGGTACCTATTTATCTACTTGCACTTTGATGTGCTTTCGAACTGCTAGGTTGGCAGGAGCAGGGACCGAACAACGGGAGCTCACCCCGTCGCAGGGATTCAAACCGCCAACCTTCTGATCGGCAAGTCCTAGGCTCTGTGGTTTAACCCACAGCACCACCCACGTCCCAATACACAGTAAGGTATTCCATATCCCTCCTTACTGTATTTCTGCAAAACTCTATTCACTTTCCTAATTTATGTTTGCCACTGCTTGAAATGAACCCATAGGAAGCTGCCTCATGCCTAGCTGGACAATTGGTCCATTTAGCTTAGTATTGTTTGCAGCGTAGACTCAACACTAATTGGTGGTGGCAGCTCTCCAGAGTTTCAGGTCTTTTCCCAGCACCCTGTGGAGATGTTGGGGGATCGTGCTTTGTTCCATTCTTTGAAAAGCTGCACCTGCTCATTTCAAGTGACTATTAAAGATACACATTCAGGCCAGGCTGACTATTCCCAGGCCAGTCAGATAACCCAACGTTCTGCTTTATCCATATGCAGAGCACATCAAAAATAGAGGCTAGATGGAGGTTTATTCCACTGCTAGGGAGAGCCAGATATTTTTCCAGAAGGTCTTCATCCCTCTTCTATGCCTTCTTAGGATTTGCCGCCTTTGTTCTTGTCCCCGTATTTTTGTTCCAAAGCTTTTTGAAGGTTAAGGTTTAGCGCATTTTTCTGGAACCACCTCCCTGTTGAGAAACAAACAAATACGCACAGTTTGCATGTACATATCTTGTACCTTTTAGCAGGCACCAGGATTAAAGGGCTATCTTTGGGAGGGGCTGGAAAAGGGCCAGTAAAGGCAAGAGCTCATGAGGGCATGGAAAGGCTGAGGTGTCTGTGTGCAGCTGATGTACAGTATGAGCAAGCTTTCTCTACTTCTCTCCCCTCCCCTCTGTGTGTAATGTGGGTATGGACACTATGATGCTCACTAGCCACAGACATGCCCAAAGTGGCAGAACCTTTATCACCCACAGTAATGAGAACAAGATGCCAAAAGATTCTTAGAATATGTGCTCAGTCTTGCAATGTGTGATTTGCAAGCTGTCAACTGGGGGGAATCCAAATATTTAGATTATAATAATACTTTAGGTATTTATATATAGCTCTTTTTCTAAGTGCTCCACTAGCATAATCTCTGTAATCCTCACAAGAACCCTGTAAAACAGGCTGGCACTATTATCCCCCATGTTGCAGATCTGATGGGAGATGCCTGAGGCAAGTCCTTTGTTTCTCAGCCATCTTTTCCTTAAAACCCTAGGGATTCTTACCTAGATCATCAGTTTTTCTTCCATGCCAATGTTTGGGGTCCCGAACTGCCCTCTTTATTACATCTGGGGTATAGGAATCCTTCATCAGGCTTCTGCTTTCCAATGGTCCTCCTGCAAAAAAGGAGATTCACAGAACTCTTACGCCACTTGGACCAGAGTCATCTAGGAGCTGGATCATAGGCTAGGGGGAGCTGGCCCCTACAGGAGACAACAAAGTAGTTGTATGACTTGGGTACCTCAAACTGTGAGAGCTGTCCTGAATTAACAGTCCCATGTTTATACAGAAAGAGGTTCCCAAGGGATTTTAGCCACACATGCCTTGCCCCAGTAGGATGGATTTGGTAGCCTGAACTGTCCAGAAAGCAGAGTGTGGGGAAAGCCTGACTCGAACCCTTCTTGTGCTTTTAGCAGTTTTTCCCATTTTCGTGATAATACAATCACCTGCAATTTGCTGCAGATCAAAGGTAGCAGGTAATGGAGACAATAGGAAAATGGGCGATCTTACACAAAAACAAAAACCTCAAAGTGATGGAAGTTACTGACTGGATCTGTCCAAAGAATGTGAGAAACAGCCTGGAGTTTTCCTCTGTCAAAGGTAGGTTGGGTTGGGTTGTAGTTGTGTGATGGTGTTGTGAGAACTTTGGAATAGGCTCCTTGAGCTGTGCCTTAATAGCCCTTAATCTGCAGTGATTAGCGAGTGATAATATTTATCTACCATACCATAAAGCTTTGCCTGCTGGTATCTGCATATCAGAGTTCTGTTAAAGGCACAAGAGAGACATTACTAGGTAGGTTGGGTTTCTCTCCCTGCCCGCTTCCAAGTGTTCCTCCCTCCAAGTCTTCTATGTTCTTGCTGTGCCTTCTCCTAATATCTTTCTTATTTCAAGCACATACACACAAAGACTTTTCTAAGGAAACTGACCCCACAAAAGATCTGTTCGATTTTCACTGCTCATAAGTAGCACGTAAAAGTGGTGTCAATTGTGGGAGATGTGTGAACTCAGCAATCCAAAATCAGTAAATGTCATAACTGGAGTCAGAACAGGCAGTGTGGAGGTAGACCTAGGATGCTCCTTTACCTTGGAAAATGTTGGACCTCAAGTTGTATCCTAGTTCATAATAATCAGCATAAGGTGACGATGCCATAGGATTCTCTAGAGTCTTATATGGCCAGTCACTGAGGCGCTTCTGCCCCTGGATCAGCCCAGCCTCACAGAGAGCACGACGTGCCTGGAAAATTCAAGACGATGGAGTCAAATTCCACTTAAGGTTCTGATGTACTGGCTCCACCAGCTACTGGTGGAACTTTCCCCACTCAGAGTGAGTCCTCTAATCAGGTATAAACTTGGCTAGAACTAAGGTTACCACCCATACTTTTTTTTTAATGGATTGCCCATACCGTGCACTTCTCTGGTTCGCCAGAAGTGGCTTAGTCATGCTGACCACATGACCCGGAAGCTGTACGCTGGCTCCCTCGGCCAATAAAGCGAGATGAGTGCCGCAACCCCAGAGTCTGCCACAACGGGACCTAATGGTCAGGAGTCCCTTTACCTTTACCATACCCTGAACCCCTTTCCATATTAAGTAGAAGATTAATTCAGGGTCTGCTATTGTCTTATGATCTTCATGTCATGATTTTTTTCCTTCATAAAAATGAAATCTCAATAAAGCACAGTCATTTTTTCCTAAATGATGAGCCACAGGTGATGCATTTGTCACTTTGACAGATTACTCTGTGGATTAATCAATATGTCCCCTGATCTACGGCATCAACCCTTGTATCTTTTAAGAGGTAGGGACAGAAGTTTTCCAAAGCTATAATTGTCACTGCGTAACCATGTTCTGTTTTTTAATTTATTGGTTAATGACTGAAATAATATCATGCATTATACTATCATTAGAATAATTCCTTTACAGCAGTGTTCCCCAACCTTGGGCCTCCAGCTGTTTTTGGACTACAATTCCCATCATCCTTGACCACTGGTCTTGCTAGCGAGGGATGATGGGAGTTGTAGTCCAAAAACAGCTGGAGGCCCAAGGTTGGGGAACACTGCTTTACAGCACAACCGTATTCATTTCAATTCAAGAAGTAAGCCCTATGGTCAATGGTTCTTACTCCTGGATAATTGTTTACTGAATGGCAGCTTTATATATTTTGCATTGCTGCTTATAGCTACCATGCTACTAGTAGCATTCCAATTTAGAACCATGTTACTAATAGTGCTTCTCAGGGCGTTTTTTTCAGCTGGAACTCAGTTCTGGCACCTCTCAGGTGGGTGCCATTGCTATTATAAGAGAACAAGGGACATGGTGAGTTCTGACACCTCTTTTTCTAGAAAAATAGCGTTGCTGCTACTTCTCTACTGCTGAACTTACTATAGCTGCTGATATGAGAGTTACAAGTCTAATGAGTAGCATTGCTGCTGCTACTGCTACTACTGCTAATACAATGTATTACTCAACCTGTGGGTCCCCAGATGTTGTTGGACTACAACTCCCATCATCCCTGAGCTCTGGCCTTGCTAGCTAGGGGTGATGGGAGTTGTAGTTCAACAACATCTGGGGACCCACAGGTTGAGAAAGGCTGACAGATATTTCCAGTTTTAAAAAGTGTTAGGCATTCCTAGCTAACCCTCTTCAAAGACAAGACCATTGCCTTCTTTACCTGCTCCTCAGAGACCAGCTTCTCCACCATAGATGTGCCAAACTTGGCCTTGATATTAGGAGGTATTATTAGGCTGTTTTTCTTCTCCTGGAGGGCCTTTCCCTCTGCTTTGACATCTTGCCCACTTGATGCTAATGACTCTTTGGCACACATGACATCCTGGGCTTCTTTCATGTCTTCACAGCTGCCCTTTATGTTCTTTCGGGGAGATGCGTGCAGTCGGGTCACTATAGGCCGGTATTGCCTACCTGTTAGTTCATCTGAATTACCGTGGCCATCTTCCATCTCTTCTTGGCTAGACTTAGCTGACAGCCTGGAACCTCCAGGTTTCCCCTTTGGGTGATGATGATTCCCTATTCCCTTGGAAGTGGTACCTTCCAGGCTGTCTTTCCTCCCTGCAGCCGTGTGAATGCAGAGGGCAGAGGGAGTTTTAGACCTGAGGGTCTGTTTGTTGTGGTTTCTGGTTTGGATATGCTGTGTGGATGGTGATGCCTCAGGCAGGACTGGGGGTTCGCCCATAGCTGTTCTGTTCTCGGGGTTCTTGGAGTTCATTGAGGAGGTCCTGCTGGAGCACCTTGAGGGGGGTCTTTTGTTGTTGGACTGTTCCCCAGTCAAGTTGTAGGTGGCCTGTTCCTTGTTTCCATATCCAGGCACTTCTACAAGACAGTAAGAAAAGTATAACCCACAGCAAAATGTTGTAGCATAGCCTCAGCTTCTCACAGAAGTGCTTCTGTTCTGGTTGCCAGGCAACCAGCTATGTTCCCCCCTCCCCCATTTTTATGGTTTTCCTTCCCAGCTGACACTCCACATTCTGTGACTATTCAGCATGCTCAGGTCCCATAGGGCTCGGCGGGGGTGGACTTAATCTTGGGTTTGTGTGTTCAAACCCCACGTTGGGTGAAAGACTCCTGCATTGCAGGGGGTTGGGCTACATGACCCTTGTGGTCCTTTCCAGCTCTACAATTCTATAATTCTTATTGGTCTCTACAGCCACAGCAGGCGCTGAAACCTTCCAACAGTTTGACTTCACCCCCAAAGGTGCACTCCTCCATTGTCTCCCAAGACAGATGGTTGCCAACAAAGCCTCTCCTCCTCCAGGAGGGGAGGGGTTGTGAGCGGGAGATGATTCCCGCATCATGCATTCCGCCCCCTGCTTCAACTCCAGGGCTGGCGTGCCATGCCCCTCCCCGGTTGGGCACCCAATAGGGAAGCTCGGCGGGAGCGTGGCTTGCTGCTCAAATGCGGCCGCGCCAGCCATCCCCGCCATTGCACACACATTTTCTTCTTGTGTCCACGTGTCTTTATTCCTCAAGCGGGGATCGGGTCCTCGAATCACAACAAAGTATAACAGATATAAAATATATATAAAACATAAAGGGGGGTGATTGCCATACCACAGTTGAAGATAATAAATGAATAATTATCCTGTACTTTATTACTCTAGTACATTATTAAAAGACTCCATTTCTCAATAAACACACTATCTTCTTGTCTGCCCTCTCTGGTTCTTACACCATATATGTAAGCTTAACCATGTAGACTACGTTCCAGATTTTAGTTATCCGTTCTCTCAAGGATGGTATTCTCACCCCCCCCCCCCATTCTGACAAATAATAATTCTGGCAGCAGTTAAGGAAAACATGAGAGCAGTGCAGAATAAAAAATACCTAGAGCAAGGACAGATAAGTTTTAGCCCTCCAGATGTTGTGGGACTCCAGTTCCCATCAGCGCCAGTTAAGGGTGCTGGAACTTGTAGTCTAGCAACATTTCTAAGGCCAGAGGTTCCCCATACCTGACCAAGAATCTTGCATCAGCAAAGCATCGTCCTCTAAAGGCCTGAAAACATAGGTAAGTTTTAACTTGGAAATGGAATCCAAGACCCGTGGCTGCCATATTTAGGTCCAGGAGGAGAGAATTCCTTAGGCAAGGTGTCACAATGCAGGAGGATGTGAGCCAAGCCCGTATAACAAGTGTATCTATAATAGCTTGCATAAGGCATTAGAGAAGATTTCAAAGTATCTTCTACCTGTTGGACCACCGGCCATTCTGGTTTCATGGTATGCGGCGGCAGGAATTGGGAAGGCCGTCGTGTCCATGGGCACCTGTTCCAAAGAGAAGTAAAGAGTGGATTATCTCAGCAGTCTTTGCAGCAGCCTGTAATATATAATCTGTCCAGCACAAAGGGGAAATGGAAAGTGGATTTGGTGAAATCATGGCTAAATTGACACTAGAACAAAAACATCCAACTCAATTCATTCTCTTGATCGCTACACTTTATCTGCTGTCCTGTAGATGTCTCCAGATGTACACATTGGATGTACAAATTGGATGTAACTCTAATATAATTATATCTTATGAAAATAATAGACTGTGTATAATCTGCTTCATTACATTGGCATTGTGTCTTGTTATTACATTAAATAATAATACACTGTACAAAGCTTCAGGTTTGAAAGTGGATAGAATTTGGGTTTTAGAGTTTCTTAGCCAGTCTCTGTAGCTCTGCCTTTAAGGGCAGCTTGAGCTAGGGATCGATGAATTTGAATTTCCCTCTGCTTTTTTGTTTTTACAGACTTATTTTCAGTTCTCCACATTTCCAAATCAGTTTTCAATTTTTTTAAAAAGTCCTTACAAAAATTCATCAGCATTCTAGTGCAAATTTCTCCCAATATTCACATTTTTATATGTAGCTTTGCCTTATACATGCACACATACAGTATATGCAAATAATTTCCCCAATATAATGCACTTTTGTCTATATAGTGTATGCATTTTTTTGCGCATTACTTGGCCAGAGAACTGCACTACAAAATTCAGACAGGTGCAACTTTCAAAGCATTTGGCTCATATAGTGTTCCGGGAAATGTAAATATGGTAGGTTTGTCTTTAAATGCAAATTGAGCCAAGTTTGTTTTTCATTCCTTGATCTGGTATTAATTTTATAGTTTAGTATTTGTTGCTCATTTCCATGCTATTTGCTTCCAGTAATAATCCATTTGCAAATAACATTGAGATGTGCTCTAACCTTGTGTTATATTCTGCTATATTTTGGGAATTGGCTTTTACATCCGAAAGCTTAAATATAATGCAGAAACTCACAGTTAAGGGGAACACCAGGGAAATGGAATAAACTGCCATGTGAATGCAGCCATGGTTGCTTTGACAATTTTTAAATTTGAAAAAAGAGAGAGAGGGAATATTTGAATTTAGAAATTCTCAAGAATCTGTCAGGTATTCTTTAGCTGTAATTCAAGCACTGTAGGAGAGATTGAACTAGATCAGTGTTTCCCAACCTTGTGCCTCCAGATGTTTTTGGCCTACAACTCCCATCATCCCTGACTAGCAAGACCAGTGGCAAGGGATGATGGGAAATTGTAGGCCAAAAACAGCTGGAGGCACAAGGTTGGGAAACACTGAACTAGATGACCCTCTGGGTCCCTTCCAACTCCACAGTTCTGATGGAAGGCACTTCGCACCACTGAGGCCACCTGAGCCTCAAGTGACAGCAGAGTGTAACCCTATCAAGAGCAGGCAACCTCCCATCCATCTGCTCTAGGGAACCGCCCACTAACAGTGCCTCAGTCATATCTGGCTTGAGCTTCAGTTTGTTGGCTCTCATCCAGTCCATTACAAAGGCAAGACAACTTCTACACAACTTCTTCACACTTCTCCAGATGTGTTTATATATATGCTAGCTGCTGGTCAAAATCAGAATGTACTTATGACCTTGTCCACAGCATCACAATCTAAAATACAACAATGTCACAAAAAGACAGGGAAACTGAAAGGAAAGAAGAAAGTGTTTGAGCAGATTTGGAAAGGAAAAATAAATAAATTACAGAATAGAATTATTAACCTAGGAATAGAAAGAAATAGAAATTATATAGCACAGCAATACTGGAACACATGAGATAAAAGGCTTGCTTTTAAAAAGGGAAAGCACAAAGATGAAATATTATACATAGAAATGGAAGTTTAATAATACCTGTTGATTTGAGATTATGAGTTTCACATATTTGTTGCACATATATAAAGGTATTTAGTCACCTTAGTTGGCCACAAGACAACTCTCCACAGTTCTTAACACCTTTATTGTTACCTTCATAATAATGACAGTATGATATGAAAACTAGCTGTGGCCCTCCAGCTCCTGGTTTTCTTCTGGGACTGGCAGATCCCTTGTCTTAATAGATGCATCCCATTTTAAATGGTTGCATAGACCAGACTTTCTCTCCATTTTTGTTGACCTTTGGCTTCCACAACTGAACCTGTCGCAGATTCTGGACACCTAATTTTGCTGTCTGCTTTACTAGAGCAATAAACACCAAGAGTAGCAAGGCCCACAATGCTGCTTTCTGGACCTGGAGCGAAACCCTTCTATTCCCGGTCAATCCTGAGGCTGGTTCTGATTCGTTCTCTGCTCAGGTATGTACTTGCCACATTCCAATCTGATGGCATCGGAAGGTGGCAAGAGACAGCTGTGGTCCTTGAACATCCCAACCCTCCTTTCTCTCTCTCCAAATCACCACCTAGACTTCCAGAGTCATTCTTGGTTCCCAATAAAGATCCTGAGAAAGTTGTGTTAGATGAGCCTGACCAGCCCCCACATTATTTTTCACCTGAGTCACATCCTCCATTTTGCTGGCATTTCTTGGGCAGGAAGACATGAGGCTGCTGTCCCGTTGGAGCAGGTTAGTACCAATCTCCTCCAGCTGTTGTAGATACTGGAGTACAGGGCTAACTTCTTTCGACTGGTGGACTGAGGGATCAACCTTTTCCTCAAGCTGCGGAAGTTGGTGGTGCAAGGCAGCAAACTCTTCAGGATGCTGTAGGTATCGTAGCACAGGGCTAACCTCCTCAGGCTCGTGTATGTAATGGAGCAAGGGACTAGCCATCTTTGGCTCCGGTTGACGCTGGAGCAAGGGGCTAACCTCCTCAAGCTCCTTCTGGCACCGTAGCAAGCCACTAGGCTCCTGAGGCTGGAGATATTGTCTGGCCAGTTTCACGAAACCTCTGGCTGGGAACAGCACAACTATTAGAATAAATGAGCTATATATGTGCCAGGCATGTCCCAGTGTGGCCAACCAGATATGGCTCCAAATCAGTTGCCAGAAGTGGCCAAGGACAGCCTCACATGCCTGCCACATGTGGCCTGGACTGGTATCAAGAAAACAGCAAGGCTCACTGCATTGACTGGTGCTTAAATACCCGAGACTCTTTGTGTAGGTCATAGGGCATCTGAACAGTGTGTGCCTCCCTGCCTGCCTGCCTGGGAGGGGTTATTGTTGTCTCTGAGGGTGCCCAGAAGTTAAGTCCTCCTCATAAATGTGTGCCTCACCTCTTCCATGATCTCAACTGAGGTGCCAAAGTAGTTCTGGTGAATCAAGCAGATCCTTGCCAAGTCTAGAAGTGTCGACAAAGAGGTGGAACTATGAGAAGTCGCCAAGGACAGTTGCTAAGAAACCATCCCCATCTGTGAGCTGTAGTTGTCATGGGAACCAAGTAAACACAGGGACCAGCTGAGAGTTATCTTCAATGCCTTAACTTACTAAGTGGGTCTGGGCCACAGTTTCTTAGTCCTTGCCATAAAATGATAACTTTTAGGAGATAATTTTGGCCTGTCTTTCCAAGGGTTGCAAGTTATTTCATGTACCTCAGTTAGCTCCTCAGGACACATCCAGATGCAATACAGACAATTGATGAATGGCTCTCATGACTTTTTTTTTTTTTTTGGTGTGTGTGTGTGTGTGTAAAGCAGCCATGCCGGATTGCATTAGAGCAGTGGTGTTTGGGAGAGACTTAACCTTCTCCCCACTTGAAATTGTCCCTTGCTTCTGAAGCTACCATGAGATTCCCTAAGGACAAAACATGTACAGTTATTGAGCCTACCTTTATTCTGCAATGAGGCTTACACCAGTTTTTAAGGGAGGGGTGCTTTTCATCCGGGTTATATCCCCTGGCCCTGCTGCCCTGATCCAATTCACCTATCTCTGATGAATGCTTTAAAAGGAAAGCATTAGAAGATTCAGTCACATGTGGTTTGCCCCCAATCTCAAACACACTATATGGAAGTCAAATACAGCTCCAAATCTGGTCTTCACTGGGCTGTTTTGAAGAGTTCCTTCAAGCATTCTGGTACCTCTCGAGTGTGCATGCATGGTGTCAGAATTGTGCCATTCCGGCTACATAAGCTACAGTACTGACACAGCTGAATATCAGAAATAGCCTGATATTTGATAAATCTTGAATAGATTGGACTATGGGCAACTTTATATAACTGAGATGTGTGTGTCAGATGGCCGTTGCAGTTGCTTGAGAGTAGCCAGGCAGGACTCCAACCTGTCTTTTACAGGCTTTATTTTGGTGCAACTATTTACAGTGAAGAGCCCCAAAGCTCATGTCTGGCTCAATCACTAACAGAATACAGGAGTGGTCGTCTTTTGGACCTCCCCCAACCTAAGAGTTTCATTACCCCCAGCCTTCTCCTTCCCTCTTTGCGCCTTAGACTACTGCAGAGGATGGGCGATGGCAAGGGCATGTTTCCCTCCTGTCCGGCTTGCCCAGGAGCGGTGTTAAGGCTCCCACCAGCATCCTCTGGTCCTTGCACCTCTTCCCCACTGGAGGTGGGGTTTTCCTCCTTCCCGGAAGAGGAACTGCTGCGCAAGATTTTCAGAGGCTCCCTGTAACACAACTGCCCTTCTATTTCTCGCCTCTGAGGCAATGGCAGTTCTCTGACAGCGTGTTTTCGTATCTGGAGGGGTTAGCACATATTCATTGCACTGCATGTTCACATGATGAAAAACTGCACCCTATTACAGCTCTCTGCCTCAAATATATGACAAAAGTCTATTGTAGCTCTTGAAATGTGACATTGCACATATGCAATCCTATGCATCATGCTTGGCGGCAAGTCCCACTGTTGAATTCAATAGGAATAACGTGTGTGAGTTAAGAAATCCCCATTTCTTTGGCTTTTTTAAAAAACCAACAACAACAAAGTCTTTTTATGTAGGATTATCAGTGCAATCTTCACTGAGGGAAAAAAAGTCCTGTTTAATTAGTCCATCTTGCCATTTGTATGTCTGATGCAAGATTGCATCAAGGTCTGTGTAGAAATCCACTGAACAGCTGCATTGTCTTCCAGCACGTAGACTCTCTAGTGCTGGCGAAATATGTACCTAGGCCCTGATTGGCTGAAGGAAAATCACATCTTCTGTACAAAACCTACTCTTCTTATAGTATAAAAACTGGTCTTTGACCTGGGTCTAACTGCCCCCATTCAGATGAAGGATTGTGAACTGCAGTAGCCACATATGTATGCCTGGATGAAGCTTGCTGGTGGGGGTCTGTGCCTCTTAATAGTGTGTATTAGGGTGAGGCAAGCTAGCTTTGTTATCTTATAGTCTGCACTCAAATTGCCCAAGGTGTCTTCACTTTGTTAGCCTTCCTTAACTGTCTTTATTGGTGAATGGTTCTTATGTTTACAATTTCGTTCACTTCGGTGTGGCTTATTGAAGTAAGCTTGGCTCCTTGATCGCACACTACAGTGGTACCTCGGGTTAAGTACTTAATTCGTTCTGGAGGTCTGTTCTTAAGCTGAAACTGTTCTTAACCTGAAGCACCACTTTACCTAATGGGGCCTCCTCCTGCTGCTGCACCGCCACCACGCGATTTCTGTTCTCATCCTGAAGCAAAGTTCTTAACACAAGGTGCTATTTCTGGGTTAGCGGAGTCTGTAACCTGAAGCGTCTGTAACCCGAGGTACCGCTGTTCTGAGAAATAACAAAAATTCACAGAGGTAAAAGGCCACTTGACCTGAGATTCTGTTTTATTCCATTACCAATAACAAAAAAGAAATAGGAAAAAAAATAGCGTTCAATTAGAAAACTAAAAAATTTATAAAAGACTACGAACTTCACATTTCCCCAGCCCTTGATCTTTGTCAGGAATAATTAAGAACCCAAACCTCGGTGCATGAATAACCGCGGCAGACTGCTATTGCTTTGCTTATGCCTTATGGCGTTTCCACTCTGAAATTTTAAGCTCTGGCGGGGCACGCCGAAACCACTCTGACCAAGATCCATCGTAGATGGCCACATCTGGTGTGCCACACAGGTATGCTGCCAGGGCAATGTGGCAGGCCGTGACCCCCTTGCGGCATGTGGCAATCAGCGGCTTTGAGAGATCCACTTTCTTCTCCTGGAACATGCTCCGGATCTCTTCTGTGCTCTTCTCAAATCCTTCTTCAGTCAAGAAATTGAAAAAAGGCATGTTCAGAGTTTGGGGGATGTGGCCTGGTTCAAGCCCTAGAATAGAAGGAAGAGAGAAAAGAGCCTCCATTTAGATATGGTGGCAAAATAAACCAATGCAGACATCTTGATGCTTCAAAAAACTATAGAGGCAAAGTATCTCAAGAAAAGGTTAGGGAATATGCTGACAGAAAGGGTTTAAAAAGGCTATTCCGGAAGGAAGGAAGCTACCTGCAATGATATAAAATAAATTCAGTTTAAAGATCAAATGATGATGATGATGATGATGTAAATTAAATTAAATTATGTAAAATGAATTCAGTTTAAAGACAACAACAAACAACAACAACAATTTATTATTTATATCCCGCCCATCTGGCTGGGTATAAACTACTTCTGATATAAAACAGTTATAACCTGGGACACATCTACAAAACTTGCATTAAGTGATGAATCAAGGTATTTAGCCAGAAATATTCACAAACAACACTGACTCAGTAAAACTGAACTGGGAGATCAAGAAAGGATCTTCAATTATTTTGTTTGGTCTAAGTGAACCAGCCTGATCTGCACTTCCTAGACTAATATGCGAATTGGAACGTTGTTACCCTTTGGTTTTTGCACTTCTCTGAATTTTGCAATGTAATTCTCAAGCAACATTGCAAAATTGTACTTTTCTTTAATCAGTACTTGAATCAACATAAGCTACTTTGGGTTGCTTTAGGTCGCCCTGGGCAAAATAAAGGGACTAAAAAATTCAATAAATAGTAATAATAATAGTAATAATAGTAATAATGATAATATCATGGACAGGACAAATTGATAACACTAGACATTTTGAGTATGAGAAAACTGTTTTTCTCATATTTATATTTAGAATGGAAACCACTGGTATGCAAATTTTGATAGTATGGAAATAATTTAAAAGAAAGGATATTCAGAGTTCAGAGTTTGGGTTTGCAACACTCCAGCTGTACTGGAAGTGCTCACTGTCTCACAAATTCCACACGTGTCATGGCTGGTTTTGATTACCTGATGGTAAGGAACAGACACTCTGCACATGATCAAATGCAATGTCTTAATTGTTGTGTGAAATATCCAGTAACATAAATGTTTGTAGGCTAAGCTTCACTAAACTCTGGCTGGGATGACTGCCCAATTGCCACAGATTTAGGATGAGTTCATATGAAAAATCTGAAGAAATCACTAGGGCGGTCTGCTCATTTTGTGTATTTTTGTATGTATGATGGATAATTTATTTGACATATCCTAGGCAACCTAATTACCAAGTAGCTCACAGGCCATTTACAGGTGCTTCCACTGAGGTGATAAGCCACAATCTTGCTGTTTGGGTAGAATTATATTTCTCAAATTTGCCTTAAATAACATGCATATACGGAGCACATGTGAGGATGGTGGTTGGTAGAGAAAGCAAATTCCCTTGATTGACTCATATTGAAAAGGAGGGCTTCCTCCGTAGCATATTGAAAGTCGCTGCAGGTAGAAGACACATTTGAAAACAATGTATCATGTCCCACCAAATGAAGAAAAACCCACCAGCCAAGGATGCCAACCACCATTGATCAAGCTTATTGGCTTTGCTGCCTGTCTGGGCCTGCCAGAGCCATGAGACAAGTCACACAAAATACACAGCTTGGGGTGAACTGTGTTTGGCAGGTCAGCTCAGGACATTTAACCAAGTAATCAAAACATTCACTCAATCCAGGCTTCCTTGCCACAGCTGTTCATCCAAATCCCCCCCCCCCCACTTTTGAGAAAGTTTAAATCTCATGGGTCAGGGCTTTGTGTTGTCAATGTTGATCATGACTCAAGTGTCTTACGATGGGACAGCATTTTAGAATCCGTTTGCACTCACGTAGCACCATAATGTGAAGTTGCAATAAACATTGGTGTGCTTAAGGGATACGGGTGGTGCTGTGGGTTAGACCACAGAGCCTAGGACTTGCCAATCAAAAGGTCAGCAGTTCAAATCCCTGCGACAGGGTGAGCTCCCGTTGCTCGGTCCCTGCTCCTGCCAACCTAGCAGTTCAAAAGCACCTCAAAGTACAAGTAGATAAATAGGTACCGCTCCGGCGGGAAGGTAAATGGTGTTTCTGTGTGCTGCTCTGGTTTGCCAGAAGTGGCTTAGTCATGCTGGCCACATGACCCGGAAGCTGTACTCCGGCTCTCTTGGCCAATAAAGTGAGATGAGCACCGCAACCCCAGAGTCGGTCACGACTGGACCTAATGGTCAGGGGTCCCTTTACCTTTACCTATGGCGTACTTGGCTCCCCTCCACTCAGAAAAACACACACAAAGTGGAGTAGTTTAGTAAGTTTAGACCCTAGATATCATGGTCTTACAGGGGCCCCACTTTTGACTCTGATTGTAATGGTCTTGTGGGGATCCTACTCTTTAGATCAGGCTTCCTCAGCCTCGGCCCTCCAGATGTTTTTGGCCTACAAATCCCATGATCCCTAGCTAGCAGGACCAGTGGTCAGGGATGATGGGAATTGTAGTCTCAAAACATCTGGAGGGCTGAGGTTGAGGAAGCTTGCTTTAGATTGTAATATGTGTTGCTTCAAAATGTGGTAGGCCAGATCTACTGTATTTGGGGGCCCTCCTGCTGAGCTGGTCCCTGGATTTCTGCCCTCCCTCCACCTGCCCCTGATGGCACCACTGCATTTCTGTCCATGTGCACACACATAGCACACACACACATAGCTCGTGCACACACACTGTACACAAAGAGGAGCGACTGGAACGCTGAACCTGCAGCAATTCTTTTGGAATTGTGCCACAGTTGGTCTCTCTCCACAATTCCAGATGGACATTTTTCGTCTCATTTGATTCTTGATTTGTCTCTTCTGTGCTCTGCAGGAATTGGCTCTGGAGCTCATGGCTTCCCCTGGACATTATCTCAACATTAAAGAGCTAAAAAAAAATTGAACTGAGTTTTTAATAACCCACCCCCCATCCTTCCCTTTTGACTACTATGTTTTGATATTATAGCACATCCAATAGCTTCCTGCTACTCCATCTGCCCAAGCTTTGAAGAAAACCAGAAAAGCTACAAAATATAATAGTAAACAGATGCTCAATGTTTACTTTCTCAGTAGTATCACATAAAAGTTAGGTCCCTGGGACTCTCAGTTGGCCATGCCCCCTGCCCAGACCATAACCCTGGCTAGCTCTGCTCCATGCCCTTCTCAAGTGCTTTTGCTTGGCTGAAAGGTGTCAGGTGGCCAAAATGTAGCTTACTGTACATCCATCGCCCTGCACACCTTGTCTCTGGCCCACCACCAACATGTGGCCTCTGGAAGGTTGCTCCCATTTGACCTGGTGTAAGTGAAGAGTATGCAGAAAGAATCTGGGGCTCCTGTCTTTACTAAATGTCCTTCATACAAGTTGCAAGAAGCATGTGTGGGATAAGAACTTCCTACAGTGAAGGATCAGGACTCAGAAAGCCAAAAAAATGTGTACTTGTCTCCCACAGAGGCTACCCCTATCCGAAATGTTGCATTTTTCAGGTCATGCAGCTGCAGTTAGTATATAAAAGGGCTTTAGCACGCAGATAGTGAGCTGCCAGAGTAAAACTTGCAAACTGACCCTTAATCTGTTCCAAGAAAGATAATAGCTGTGTGAACATAGTCATGTGATATTTTAGAGGTACTTATGTGTGTGCGGCTCTCTGAAACAGGTTGCCTCCCAATGACGAAACACTGCATGAACCTCCAACCCCACATGCAGCTTGTCACACATCCATGCCTATGTGTACTTTACCACATGTTGTTGGCATCCGTCTATCTTGAAAGACAATGGAGTGTGCCTCTGGGGGTGAAGTCAAACTGTTGCAATTGCAGCACCAAAGTGACCTCCCTGGGGCGCAAGCCTGGACAGTGTATATGGAGGTCCTGGGCTGCCCAGATAACAAGACCCCCCTCTTGGCCTCATTGATGTGGTCCAAAGGAAAGCAGAACAATACATTTGGCACCAACGTGGCTGCAGGAGTTGCCAGAAAAAGGTGTACAAGGCCCCATCCAACCATCATAGGGACTCTACTCTGGATTTGTGTAAAGTTTGCTCCTTAGCCTTTTCTTCTCCTGCAGATGTCCCACAAGGCAGTAGAGGTCTAGGGTGAGAGTTTTCCTTCTCCTTGAGAAGCAACCTTCCCCAGGTGGATGAGCCCCATCTGCCCCTCACTTGCCTCTACAGAACATGCAAAAACCGACTTCTTGACCGTTGGACCCACTACTGGTCTCGTCCGTTCAATCTGCTGGAGCCTGTCTTCACATGCAGGGGAAGTCCCGAACTCACTGAGGGATTGGGATCCATTGGCTACTCTCACTTGGTTTAGC